CATCATTCAATTTCAATTGCCTGTCTGCACCCCATGTTGTAAGGGTGCTTTCCCTTAGAGCAAGGGATTCGGTTCTGAATGAGCTTTGGTGTCTGAGCAGTTTATGGTCGCTAACATAGGGGTCCAGTCTTAGACTCCCTTGTCCTTAAAAATGACTTTCATAATGAGAACATCACGGAAAACCATCCATTTACCCATCTATCTAGCTACCTTTTTTTGAGTGGTACTAGGGATCAAACCCAGGGCTTTGTGCCTTCTAAGAACCAGGTCCCCAGCCCTTCAGGAAACCACATTGAGTTGAATTTGTTGACTGCTGGCTCCGTGTCACCTTGGTGCCTTGGAGCCATCAGATGCCATCTGGAATAGGGGTCACTGTTTTCCCTTTTCCAAGTTTTTTTCCGAGTTTCTCGTTTTCTGCATTGTATTCATTGTCATTTCATATTCCAAGCAATTTGCTATAGGCAACTACACCATTACGTTGTACAAATAAATTTACATAAATCATTATTAGAATGTTTTATCTTGGCAACATTATTTGGCTCCCAGAGCACAAATTAAATGCATGCTTAAAGCAGAATATTTTAAAGTTATTCCTATATTGTTTATGAGACAGGATTAGAAATTTTCATCTAATTTTTCTTTCATAATGGAATTCCTTTAGTTTCCTTTGTACATTTAGAAACCACATGTATAATTTTCTGGGGGGTTTCTGGAAGCGAGCAAGGCAATAGATGACTCAGTCCTGTTGGTCTCATTTTTCAGCAACCACTGCCTTTGATTTCATGGGTCTGGGCCTGAACACAGATTAGGAAGGCTGGGAACCAGGGAAATGACAATATACAGTCAGTCTTTCTACAAACTGACTGGTCTCTGTGGTGAGGCTTTAATAAAAAAGGAAACAGACTTGTAAATAACACCCCTGAACTTTGTTTCTCCTCCCTGTTTGGGTTGGGCTGGTGACTGGACTAACAACAGCACCTGGCAAGTCTTCCATGGCTAGAATTTTACTCCACCCCAGATTTCAAAGTAATATTTTTTTTCCCCACATATAAAATACAGTGCCCAGTTTTAAAACAAGTTGCACTTGTCAATGTCAGGGCCAGGAGCACTGGGAGAGGAGAGAACAGGTCGTGTGCCCTGGTCCTGCTATCTGAGGGCTCTGGGTAATTACCCAGGCATCCAACACCTCATCTTCTCACTGCTGTCCTGAAGAGCTGGTCAAACCACACACGGGGTGGGCCCTCCTAGCCGGATGTGACCTCCTGAGAACAGACTCCCAGGCCAGTGTCAAAAAGTGGGATACCATGTGGTCAGGGGTGCAATCCTTGAAAGAGCGAGCAAGCAGTCCCATGGAATACTTGAAAGCATGGATTCACACGGGTCTGAGTTCAAATCAGAGCCACTCACTAGCTATGTGAGAGTCAGCAATTCAAAGCTTTCTGCTTCTCTGTTACTCTTTTGGGCGGGAGGGCAGAGGTACTGGGCATTTAACCCAAGACCTTCGCAATGAGCTATACTCCCAGCCCTATTTTATTTTTTATTTTGAGACAGGATCTCTCTAAGTCACTAAGTTGCTAAGGCTGGGCTCAAATTTGCAATCCTTCTGCCTCAGCCTCCCAGAGTGCTGGGAAAGGAACATTTGTCAACGGAGCCCTTGACCCTTGGGCTGCACTTTCTGACTTAGTACACTCCAGCCTTTCCCGGCTCAGCCAGTTCATGAAGTTAGAACCCACCTCTTCAGCCACAGTTTCCACGGCAGTGCTGCTGGTCCACTCACTAAATGCCATGTATAGTCTCACACTTGCCTGTGGACTGGTGACCTGGGAGCTTGTCAGAAAGGCAGAATCTCAGGCTCCAGTTCAGACTTACTGAATCAGAATCTGCCTTTCAGCAAGATCCCCCATGTGATTGGTTTGTGCATTAAAGTTTGAGCATCTTGCTTTAAGCTAGTCACAGCATCATAAATACTCTGTTGATAGATAGGCATGGGGAAAGAGAAAATCCTAAAGAAATAAGTACTCTTAGGTTCTTACTGTAATCTGTCTGGCAGGCTGCAGTCAGTCTGGCCAGATTCAAACTTGCTTAAATGAATTCAATTCTGTAGCATTAAAAAAAATAAATTTTCATTATTTCCTTAATTACAGAGAAAACTAAATATATATTTACTTTGTTATACTAAGGCCCTGAGATTTGGGACATACTTTTCACCCAAGTATACTACAGTCATCTCTGGCTCAGACAGTAAATTTAGAACCTAAATCTCTGACTTTCACCATAGTTTAACCTCAGCAGGATCATAAAATCCTAGCAGACTGGGAGAAGCATGTTGCCAAGATTAAATTTCATAGCATACTCATGGTAAGACATCATGCTTACTGCATTTAAAACAAAGTATTTATCTGATTTGAAATAAAATAGCTCACATGCAGCACCAAGAAAAAAAGAAAAGAAACTTCAAAATTCAAGACACATTTTAAATTTGGTGCCGATTTGTTTCAACATAATCCACAATGCCCGGACGGCTCCTTTTAGGAGTAATACTATATCTAAGTTCTCGAAGTGCAATGGCCTCAATGATGTATCTTGATTTAATTGAAAGTTAAAGGGCTCGGGCTCGGGATTTAGCTCAGTGGTTCTGCTGCCTGCCTTGCAAGCACAAGGACCTGAGTTTGATACTGGTACCAAAAAAAAAAAAAAAAAAAAAAAAAAAAAATAAAAAGAAG